GGCAACATGGGGGGTTGGATCCCTTTCCGGCAAAAAAAAAAAAAAAAAAAAAAAAAAAAAAAAAAAAAAAAAAAAAAAGAAAGAAAAAAGAAAAAAATTGTAGTTGTTATATCTTCTCCCCCCCTCGCCCCGCCCCGGTACTTTTGTGTGTGTGTGTGTGTTTGTGAGTGAATTTATTTATTTATTTTTAGCTCCCACCAATAAGTGAGAACATGTGGTATTTCTTTTTCTCTGCCTGACTCGTTTCACTTAATATTATTCTCTCAAGGTCCATCCATGTTGTTGCAAATGGCAGTATTTCATTCGTTTTTATAGCTGAGTATGTGGTATATCTACACAATGGAATACTATGATTACTTTTAATATAGATTTTTAAATACTGTATGACAATTTGGAAAGAAATTGCAAATTTTCTTGGTTTCTATGACAGCACTTGCAAGTATGCTATGTTCAATATTAGTGCCACAAAATAACTGCTGTTATGTGTTTTTAAAAAGGATTCTGAGGTTATGTGTTTTGGTAAGTGAAAATGTAGTAAGCATGTGACTGCAGTACTTCTCAGGACCGTGTTACTCAACATGTACAGGGTACAGTGCCCTCCGAATGTCCTGTTTGTTCTATGGTCAAACATATCCAGAATCTAACCAATTTTCAGCTGCTCCATTGTGCCTAATCTTATCAAGGCATTATCATGTCTCACTTATCCAACCGTGATAGTCTTCTAGCAGGCTGTCTTGATTTCACCCTGGTCCCCTAAAACTGCATTCTCTACACAGCAGCCATCTTGTCTGCTTCTGTTCAAAACCCTCCAGTGTCTTCTCAGTTCACTATACTTATACTCCTAACTTACTAGAATAAGAGAATGAGGTGGGTTCACACTGAATACTCTATAACTTGTAGACTGCTGAATCCTAGAAGTTAAAGTTCTGGCAGATCTGAAGAACATACGATTTACTATAATCTTGATAGCTCAGTAGACCTGGCAAGATATTTCTTTCTTCCTGGGCTTATTCTGTCTTGCTCTTCACTTCCTCAAGTGGCACAGTCTCTTTTCCATCCTCTCATTTTCTCCAAAGAGATGAGGGCCAAGATGCAGACTCCAGAAAAGGGAAAAATGTATTGAAAACAAAATGAATCAATAGATAGCAATTGGCATAACACAAAGAAGGACTGACATTACTAAACTGATTACTCTTAGGTGTGTAGGATCTTATAGAAAGACATCTTTCTGACACTGTAAACCTTCTCAGAGATATTCCATTCTCCAGGTTCGTGAAACTCAATTGTGGTACCTGAGCCGAGTTAAAATAATGAAAAATTCTTTGTCATTCAGACAGACAAAAATCCATCTAGCGAACAAAGTTATTCTTTTGATCATACCCTTACACCTGCTATGCACCCATAACAATTTTCATACCGGGGTTGTCTGATTTGATTGCTCCAACTGTATTTAATCAATATAGGGTGGCATTTGGGGACCAGGGATTTTCAGCGCTTTAGCCCTTGATGAACTAATCTCAGTCTCTCTTTGCACTGTGACACTTGCTATCTAAGGGTTCAGTTTGCCTTGGGTCATTTCTTCACTTCAAAAACTATCGTCCACAATATACATTATGCTTTACTTTAAAGAAAGAATATATTTCAAAAGTCTCAAAAATATCTATTGTAGGCAAATTAAATAATGTGAATGTATATTCCTGCTTTGGAAGTACAAGTAAATAATTTTGCATAGCATACAGAAAATCATGAGCTATGTATCTAACAGAAAAAAATAGGGGTTGCTGAAATAAGGATATGTAAAATATTTCAAATTAACTGAAGTGACCATCAATAATTAGCTAACATTCAATGAATTACAAATATCTCACATGTATTACTTCAATGAAAGCCGAAAGTATTTATTTAAAGCAGCTCTATTTATTTAAAGCAGTTCTACCCACCTATTTAATTATTTTTGTTATCTACCCAACTGACTGATTGTGTCAGTTATACAGAGAGATGACTTCTTTGAGTGAAAAAGCAGGCAGGCAGAGTCAGAAGAATGTGGAAGTTCCTGCTGTATCTAACCTATTTAAGACCAATTTTTAAAAATTTTTTCTTTCCAAATGAAATAATTGAATTTATCTCTAAAGTTTGCTAAATTTCACTTTCTCTGTCTATATAAATGGAATGAAAGAACATGCTGCAGTTTCTCCCAAAAGGTTGTTTGGATGTTCAAATAACATAATTAAAGTGAATGTACTTTTTGTTTTTTAAGTGAAATAATAATGGCTATTTAGGAAGGAAACATTGTCTGGAATTAAATCTAATTTTATGGGCTTCCAAGGATGTTGAAGACAAAATAAATGCATCCTCACATTGACTAGAGGGCAAATGTCAAAAAAGAGAGGATATATGTATACAGATGCAG